ATAATGTTCTTCATGAGCAGATAATTTTACACAATTTATAATGTTCTTCATGAACTGATAATTTTACACAATTTATAATGTTCTTCATGAACTGATACTTTTACACAATTTATAATGTTCTTCATGAACTGATAATTTTACACAATTTATAATGTTCTTCATGAACAGATAATTTTAAACAATTTATAATGGTCTTCATGAGCAGATACTTTTACACAATTTATAAAGTTCTACATGAACTGATAATTTTACACAATTTATAATGTTCTTCATGAACAGATATTTTTACACAATTTATAATGTCTCTCATGAACAGATAATTTTACACAATTTATATTGTTCTTCATGAATTGATATTTTTACATAATTTATAATGTTCTTTATGAACAGATACTTTTATACAATTTAAAATGTTCTTCATGAACTGATAATTTTACACAATTTATAAAGTTCTTCATAAAAAGATAATTTTACACAATTTATAATGTTCTTCATAAAAAGATAATTTTACACAATTTATAATGTCTCTCATGAACAGATAATTTTACACAATTTATAATGTTCTTCATGAATTGATATTTTTACACAATTTATAATGTTCTTCATGAACAGATAATTTTACACAATTTATAATGTTCTTCATGAACAGATACTTTTACACAATTTATAATGTTCTTCATGAACTGATAATTTTACACAATTTATAATGTTCTTCATGAACTGATAATTTTACACAATTTATAATGTTCTTCATGAACTGATAATTTTACACAATTTATAATGTTCTTCATGAACAGATAATTTTACACAATTTATAATGTTCTTCATGAGCAGATAATTTTACACAATTTATAATGTTCTTCATGAACTGATAATTTTACACAATTTATAATGTTCTTCATGAACAGATAATTTTAAACAATTTATAATGTTCTTCATGAGCAGATAATTTTACACAATTTATAATGTTCTTCATGAACTGATAATTTTACACAATTTATAATGTTCTTCATGAACTGATACTTTTACACAATTTATAATGTTCTTCATGAACTGATAATTTTACACAATTTATAATGTTCTTCATGAACAGATAATTTTAAACAATTTATAATGTTCTTCATGAACTGATAATTTTACACAATTTATAAAGTTCTTCATAAAAAGATAATTTTACACAATTTATAATGTCTCTCATGAACAGATAATTTTACACAATTTATAATGTTCTTCATGAATTGATATTTTTACACAATTTATAATGTTCTTCATGAACAGATAATTTTACACAATTTATAATGTTCTTCATGAACAGATACTTTTACACAATTTATAATGTTCTTCATGAACTGATAATTTTACACAATTTATAATGTTCTTCATGAACTGATAATTTTACACAATTTATAATGTTCTTCATGAACTGATAATTTTACACAATTTATAATGTTCTTCATGAACAGATAATTTTAAACAATTTATAATGTTCTTCATGAGCAGATACTTTTACACAATTTATAAAGTTCTACATGAACTGATAATTTTACACAATTTATAATGTTCTTCATGAACAGATACTTTTACACAATCATGAAGTGATAATTTTACATAATTTATAATGTTCTTTTTACACAATTTATAACGTATGTTCTGATAACTTTACACAATTTATAATGTCTCTCATTAACTGATTTTAGATTTTACACAATTTATAATGTTCCTCATGAACTGATAAGTTTACACAATTTATAATGTTTTTTATAAAAAGATAATTTCACATTATTCATAATGTTTCTCAGGATTAGATAAATTTACAGTATTTATAATGTCTCTTATGAACTATTCAAAATATCTCTCGTAAAAAGATAATTTTACACTATTTATGTCTCTTATGAAAAGATAATTTTACACAACTCATAATGTCTCTCATAAAAACTTATTAACTAATTTCCATTGCTATCAATAGATTACAAATTTCAGATTCAAATTTTTATGTTACCTAAATACAGGGGTGGTCTGTAAGACCAAGTTTGATATGTTTTTTTTACTTAGATAATTAATCATAAAGACTGTGCATTCTACTAATATTAAAACTTGAATTATTCTTTTAGATTATATTTTAAAGGTCTAGCACTATTATCTTTATAACACTGGAATACATTTCACTTACATAATCAATATAAGCATCATTATAAATTCATCATAATCACCATTGTTAATAAAAAAAATAGCCTATTTAAACTACAAATATAACAAAATATTACCTTTCTTCTAGTAATTATCTGTATCTCCAAAAGCAATGCATGAACATATTTTGGAACAAAATCTTATTTGCAAAACTCATTTTCATTTTCAAAAAAACATTACCCACTGCAGGGTTTCAATACTTTCGAACATTACATGGATTTTGATCGCTTACAAGTGCACACTTATCATTCAATAAAAACAGCAAGTGCATTTTACAAGTCGGATATCACGACCACAAACTTTATTCACTACTTTATTCTCTGTACAACTATATAGATATGAATCAAGTATTCCAGGTAAGACATGTTCTTACATTGAAAGCTGACGAAAAGTTCAATCCGGAAAAATTAATCACCATATTGGTGTTTTATGTTCAGGTGCCATATGACTCAATACAACTAATACTTATAAACCGAAAGACAAAAAAAAATAAAAACAAATTCAGAGATATTTGTAAGAAATATAGTATGTGCTATCATCAAGGCCATTTCCAATTTATTATTTGTTTCTTATATTATAAAAGATAAAATATAACCTGAAGAATATCAAAAATTTCTTTGATTTTATTTAAGACAATTATGAAAATAGTCCTTAAACTAAATACCTGTTCCTTATTCAAAACTGAACAAAAGGAAATTCACTATAGATGTCCTCCTTTTAAATCTGCTAGTTTTACATACCTGTGCTTAATGGCCATCTGTCTTAAAAGACCATGTTCTTATTTCAAAGCTCAGTATTTGAAATAAATTTTAGCCAGAATTCAAAAATCACCTCTTAAATACACAAATGTATATATGTTATTGGCTTATAAATGTCTTTATTATAATCAACATTTTTCTTTACAACAGTTCAAAAATTTTAAAAAAAATGCAAATGCATGCATATACCATGCTATGTATTGTTGGGGGGGGGGGGTTTAGGGTTTGGAGGATATTTCTCAAGAAATGATTTTATGGGGTTTCTATACATAATTTTACAAAAAAAACACTTAATCAGATAAGAATGCAATACCTTTTTGTTTGTTAACAACACTCTTTTTTTGCCTTTAATCTCAGAGGAAATCCCTGTATCTTATTATTTCATTATCATAAAATTTACATTCAAAATTCTTAAAAGAAATTTTTGCTTTATGCTGGTTTTAATGCTGGTTTTTATGCAAGTTTTTAATGTTATAATAACCTTTTTTTCTTATTATCTAACTTTCTGTGAGTAATAAGAAAAATATAACACAATAAATGCTTCATGGTACCAATTAAACAGATTTATATAAGGCCAAAATAAAATATGTTTGTTTGCTATTACTGGAGATTTTCAAAATTACATTTTTAGAAAAAAGAATTTTTAATAAGCAGAGCTACTGTCATGACTCACTTGGCCGTGTCAGCACTGATTACATAATTAATAACTTTACACTGACATAGCTACATTATAAAATATCACAAAAAAAATCTCCACAAACACTTAAAAAATCTCTATAAAGATTTTTTAGTAAAACCCTATAACAATCTATGAAACCCTCAAAACCTCTCTTTTAGACCAAACAAAATCTCTCTGAAAACATATAAACTTCTCTGTTAAAACCTTATAAAAATGTCTGCGAAACTCTTAAAATTTTATATTCTTTTTGTACCTGTGCATTGAGATGCACCTTATTTATGACCTTGAAAGTAAAAGTAGTGTTCAGCAACACAGGCAGATTAAGAATTGTCTACTTGGCTAAGCATACATCAACGTTAATCTTTTATCTGATAAAATACATGCATGCTAGGCGTATAGAAGTTAAAAAACATTGCAGCTTATCAATATTTTCCCTTACATCAATCAATCTCCTCATATTATAGCCAATTCTTATAGCAAATAGTTTATCTTAAAGGCCCACAACAAATTTCCATATATTCTTACAGGAAATAGTTTTTCTTAAAGGCCAACAACAAATTTCCATATATTCATACAGGAAATAGTTTTTCTTAAAGGCCAACAACAAATTTCCATATATTCATACAGGAAATAGTTTTTCTTAATGGCCCACAACAAATGTTCACATATTCATACAGGAAATAGATTTTCTTAAAGGCCCACAACAAATTTTTACATATTCATACAGAAAATAGTTTTTCTTAAAGGCCCACAATGAATTTCCACATATTCTTACAGGAAATAGTAACTGTTTTTCTTAAACGCCCAGAATGAATTTCAATAATCACATTCTTACAGGAATTTTTTTTTTAAATGCCCAGAATGACTTTCCACAACATTACCCTACATACATAATTTCAAATTTTAATGATATCCATTTCATATTTTTGCTATGTCTGATTAAAAGAACAAAATGTAATAAGCCAAGGTCACCGCAGTATAATACAGCCTGAGACCAGTATGCACATTTGTGCAGTCCGACAAGGCACTATACTGTTGCATGACCAAATTTCAAATTTTCATCTCAATATCCCAAATATTGAAAATGAATAGTCCCCAAAATGGAAGCTGGGCCCGTATTCAATATACATCTTAAGTTAATCTTATCCTTAAATATGACCTCAAAGATAAGAAAATCTTAAAGTCAGCGTTTTTTCTAAGAAAAATCTTAAGTGATATTTAATAAACGTCTTATCTTAAGTTTTTCCTTAAAAATATGATTTTTAGTCCTTAACTTTAAGGAAGCCACATAGCAACCTTAACTTTGCTCTTAGAAATAAGGAATTTAGATTGATTCATCAAAGACGCCATTTTCTCGGGCAAGTATATATCTTACGATGTACATGCGTGTTAATTGAAATATTTTTCGTTCAAAAATGATTTTATATGCTTATTTGCTAATTTGAAGGGCGATAATCGATGTAATGTTCCGTAAAAGTCGCGCGTCACAGGTCGAATGTTTACATCGTTTAAGCTCAATTTTCCTAAAATATTGCCACTATTGGAGGCGAACATTTAGAAGACAAATGATTAACAGACTCAAGAGATACCATAGCATTGGCTAAATGCGCATATGTTTTGTTGTGGTTACGTATGTGATTTGTAACCGGAATTCGCGAGTTTACAACTATGATTGAAGTAGACTAAACATCTTGTTTACATGCTATTATATTATGATCCACAAACTCTTCAACAATAACTTCCGGTAACTGTTACCAGTTATAAACAATGAAGTGTTTAATTGGTTAAATAAAAACGACGATGACACTGCATGAAAGCACATCTTCAACCGGAAGCTTATATAAAAATGGGCACACTGGATTACTTTTATATGAACAACACCGTTGATGTTGAGGATTTACAGGTTTGTAACCTTTAAACTTCGTGATTTTAATATCACTTTATCATGGAAAAGACCTTATTGTCTATAAAATCTTCATCTGTTTTCTTTATTGTACATTAGTATTTTAATTGATACATTCAAGTAACCCCCCTCCCCCTGAAATATACAGCAGGGTCTTGTCCAGGAGATATTCTTATATATATATATATATGTGTGTGTGTAGGAACATGTAAAATATCGTAGCATCTCTTAGTCTTTTATCATGTATGATGTGTATTTGACTGCCTCTGTGGTCGAGGGGTTAGAGTTGATGATTTCTAATCCAGTTACCTCTGGCATAGGTTTGATCCCCAGGAGATGCTTTGGTAGTTTAGCGTTTATTTCAAATTTTGGGTAATATTTGGGTATTTCATGCATGCCAAACATACATATGAGCCGCGTCAGGACAAAACCAACATAAAGGGTTTGCGACCAGCATGGATCCAGACCAGCCTGCACGATCAGGATCCATGCTGTTCGCTATCAGTTTCTCTACTTTTTATAGAGTTGGTTTGCGAACAGCATGGATTCTGCACATCAGCGCAGATGTGCAGACTGGTCTGGATCCATGCTGGTCGCAAACCCTTTATGTTGGTTTTGTCGTGATGCGGCTCATATGTATGTTCGGCATGCATGAAATACCCAAATATTAATACCCAAAATTTGAAATATACTAAAAAATAAATGTTTAAGACTTTAATTATGATTTACAATATACACTCTCACTAAGCCTTAAAAAGGTATATTCAAAAATACCCAAATATACATTTTCTTATCATTGTGTTTTGAACCAAAATATACCCAAATACAGTATACTCCATTAAAGCTATTAATTTTAAATGGACACTTGTATGAATTTTTAACAAAATTTTACAATTAACATTTAAATATAGACAATATATATACCTTAATTTTAAATCACATGTATATTCATTAATGAACCTAGGTAAGCAAATGTCACAAGTTTATTTTCTAACAACATCAGAACTGCCCATTTCAACGAAATTAATGAAAGTTATAGCCTGCTAGGTCATATTATTTTATTAATATCAAACATTTTATTATTATAATCTAATTTTATACAAACAAAAATTTATATTGCTATGTTTGGGTGCATTTGCAGTGATTTTTTTCACTGTATATTACAGTTGTAGAAAGGCTGTTTCCCCTAGCCCAAAATAGGTATATTTTCCCCCAAAAATGCTAATATTTAATTTTTCCCCTAAAATGCCTTGTATTCTTCTTTCCCAGAACCATGACTTAACAGAATCTGCATCTGACTTATATCACCTAGAGGATAGAAATCTGCCCCTATACAGCCTCTGCTATGTACTGAATTGATATTATTTTTTTTCACATCAAATCTGTGGGTAAAGTCCATTTTCATTTACTGGAATTTGATTTCAGGTTCTCCCCCTTTTTTTGCTTTATCACTCTATATTTTCACCTTAAAGCCAGGTTTTTTGGAAAATTGAAAAAAAAATCACTGATTAAAACAGATTTGGGTATGTTAGGGTATTTCGTGCCGCCGTGTGTTGAAGTTCATTAAAATTGCTGTTTATGATAACTTTATTTGCTTCCATTAAATAATGATTATATTGAGTTCATGCAGACTATATAGACTAGTAATTTAACATCATTTTAAGTCTTATATAATTATTATGTATTTTTTTTTGTTATTTCAGGTTCTCAGTCACTGGATGATGTATTTTCGTGAATTCTTGCATCTAAAAGTTCCACTATTGGATGGACACTTTTTCTCTTCAAGCAAACAGTGATTTTTTTTCAAAAGCTTGTTGTGCAGGAAAGACACGGTTTAAGGAAACATTCAATGAATGGCCGATTTAATTAATAGGAATTTAAAAGAAAATCAAGTCAAGATTTTTATGAACTTATGAACTGAACATTTCATTATTGCATTTCAGTATTGTTCAAAAAGGCCCCTGCCATGAAAATCTTAATTGGAACTGAGTTAAAAAAGTATCTCATTAAATAATCCAGTATTTAAAGCACCACATGAACCTATAAAAATTGAACATTTTGATATTTATAATATGTTGTGAAGTATATGTGTAGAGAGCAAGTCAATGATAATTGAAACTATAAGTGAATAAATTTATAAATAAAATTTTGCAATATAATGAGCTTGTTGTTGCACCCATATGAATTATTCATCATTTACTTAAATGCTGCCATTATGATTATGAAAAAAAACCTTGCTTCAAAGTTGAAGCAATACATCTTTACTGGCTTAGACCTACTATAGACCACTGTATTGTATACAGAGCTGACACAGTATTCTCTTAGATGACTTGGGCATTTAAACTGAAATGTTCAAGGATTAATTGGTACCTCAAGTACTTGTGAAAGTTTTTAGCTCGACTATTCCAGAAGAATAAGTAAAGCTATTTATGTAGTCACCCGAGTGTCAGCGTTGGTGTCTGCGTTACCACTTATGTTAAAGTTTTTGTAATACCTTAAATATTTTCAAAGTCCATTGACATATGGCTTTGCAACTATGCACACTTGTTCACCATTATGACCCCAACCTGACAGGAGGAGGTAACTGTATCAAGCATTTTAACAGATTATGCCCCTTTTTCAAATTAAAATGTGTTTTTAGGTTTGCGTACCACTTCAGAATTTTCATATTCTATTGAAACAAGTTGAAATTTTATAGTATTCTTTGAGAGCATAATAGGACTCTCTCCAAGGCCTATAACTGTAACATGGATTTAATGAAAACTTTTGTCCTTTTGTTATTAACTCAGAAATTTTTACATTATCAAGGCTCTTTTACTATCGAGCACTAAGAATAGTCGAGCGTTGCTATCCTACTGACAGCTCTAGTTCTGCTGTTTGACTCAATAATGGCCCTTGAATAGAAAAAAGATGTTTTAGCCTGTTGATGATTTTTGTTTTTGTGTCTCTTGCTGCGCAGAAGGTGCAAATATTCTACACAGTATTCCTGAAATATAGGGTGTTCATTTGCCCCACAATACAACTGCTAACATGGCTATTATAAGGCTACACATGTGATCACTAATCACTCATTTTAATGTAATGTAGCTTAAACATTACATGCTCATGGACTAGTTGATATGATTGCTTTTTGTCAGTTATCTGTCATACACCCAAATTCACTGTGTTTATCATGAGTTACAATTATCTTTTGTCCAATTAGCATTGAATTCACTTCAATTGTAATATTTTAACTTCTAGGCTTTTCTTCTTTATAACATATAGTGAGGCATTACCTCAAATTGAAGAGTAGTCATAAATAAATTGTATTACTGTCTATAGCATTGAAACCTGAAGGGATGTATATTAAAATCTCGTACTGTTAAATTATTTACCCCAGGGTAAAAGTCTTTGTCTGTATGTCACAAATTTTTGTCCTGAGCATAACTTGATAGTTAAACAACATATTGACATGAAACCTACTGGGTATATTTAAAAAGAATAATATATGACAAATGGAAGTTATTTCCCTGCATTTAATGTCTTAATTTCAGTGCATACCACTCCAACAAATGATGACCGTGAAAATTAAAGTGTAAGCAAATGTCATGTAAGACAAATACAGGAACTGTCTGGTTGCTGTCGTTAATTGTCTCCCTTTCTTTATTTTTTTTTATTTCAAATTGTATACCTCTTAAACTAGGAATGTAATTGTCTTGAAACTTATGAGTATTATTAAAAGACAGCTAGAGGAACTTATACTAATAAAAAGAACCAGAATTGCAAACAAATGTACATCACATTATACCCAAGTATTATCTGGCTTTTTGTGTGGATAATTTATTTGCCGGATTGCATTTGATATGTAAATTGTAATGTAATTGAATCAAGTAAATTTTGTATAATCAATCTTTTTCAAAACCAATCTTAAAAGAACACCTTGTTATATTTTCTAGTTTTACAAAGTAGAGTGTGACTGATAGGGATTGTCTCTTAATAGAGAGTTAAATAGTTTATGTAACTGTTATATTTTAACTAAAATCTGTGCTTACTGAACTTAAGATTACATTTTATTTTTTAAAACCTTAAACAGAAATGACAAACCGCCTAACTTCAATAGACACAATGCCTAACTTAGAGGTTCTAAATAGGTACAGGCTTGACAAAGGTGGAATAGGGTATTTGGAGCAGTTATTGTATAACAAGATTCAACCCCTGGCTAGGAGAAATAACAGTTTGTCTGTCAGAGACAAGATTTTGGTAACTCTGAGGTACTTGGCCACCGGACCCATTCAGCTTAATGATGCTGACATACATGGTGTAAGTCAGCCTACAGTTAGCAGAGTTGTGACTGAGGTAGTCTCAGCTTTAAACAGTCCAGACATTGTTGGACAATTTATCAAATTCCCTTGCACCAGAGAGGAACTGATTAAAAATCAACAAGAATTTTATGGCATTGCCAAATTCCCTAAAGTTGTAGGTGTGATTGACGGCACACACATAAGAATACAGGCACCTGCAAATAATGAAGAGCTGTATGTTAACCGGAAAGGCTTTCATTCATTGAATGTTCAGCTAGCATTTGATCCCTTTGATCAGATCATAGATGTAGTATGTAAATGGCCTGGATCTGTTCATGACAGCAGAATACTACAGCAAAGTGGCTTAACAACAATATTTGAAGGTGGACACATGCCAGTGGGACAGTACCATCTGCTGGGAGATTCAGGCTATCCATGTAAGAAATGGTTGCTCACACCATTTATAAATCCCCAAACTAGTGGTGAAATTGGATACAACAGGTAAATAAACTAGATTATAAGTAAACATGTTATAATAGTTAATCTATAATAACTTTTTTATTTAAGTCAGAAATATTATTCAATGTAATTCAATTTCTTTAAATACAATTATTTAAGAATTCAGAACATCTAACTAATATATATATATTTGTACAATACATTTAACAGTAAAGTTAATTAACAAACATATAATAGAAAGAATTTGACATTAAAGGCCCATTAAGCCTTTGATATAATATTTCATCATTATCAACATACAAGTTTTGAACTTACTGAAAAATTTGGCAAACTATGCAGGAGTCATAAAATTACAAGGGCCAAAGTAGAACGTGGAATTGGACAGCTGAAGCGGAGATTTGGAGTTTTGCATCGAGAAGTGTCATTAAAGCCTGAAAAAGTTTGCAAGTAAAAACATTTATTTTTCTTATTATTCTTCATATAAACCCCCGAACAGCTGGTTCTAGTATAAATCATGTCCAAAAAAATATACAAGGGCAAAATTGTCGACAAATACACCCTTAAAAGTTTTGACAGAGATTTGGGCATAAAAGAAATGTAGTAGATATGCTCTTGGCAATATCCGGAAAATTCCTGGATATTTCATCATCTCTAGTGACCTTTACTTTGCAAATATTAACCTAAATTGCATGTGTACCACTTATGGTCATGATAATTAGCATTTGTGTTACAATCCATCAATAAATGATGACTAAATGCTCCCCAAACAAAATTTGACCTCTCTATGTGACCTTGACTTTTGGTAGCAGGGACCTGGATTATTATCGGTAAACTTGTGATTTATTGTGTTTAGATAAATCAAATATGATTGTCAATTAATTTGTTTCAAGAAGTGGCCCATTAATATTAGAACAAATTCATAGAAATAATGATTCAATGTGCATTTAAAAAACAAATATTTAATATGAAATACCAATATTGCTACAACTAAGAAATGCCAAAATGTATCTTTGAATTTTGAATATAAAAAGTCATAAGACACCTTATATATACCTTACATACATATACAGTAAATGTCCCGAAAGTTCTTAAATGCAATTTTTTTTTTATAATAAAGTACATTATGTGCATGTATGACATTTTCATTAATTTACAAGTTCATCATAGCATTGTGTGCATATGCTTAAATGTATTTTATATGGAATTGTTTGCACTTATGTATTTATAGAGTAGTACTAGCATGTGCAGTGTTACATAACATTTGCAAGAGGCTAAACATTCAAATGCCATTACAAGATGATGATGATGATGACAATGATGATAACAGTAATGCTCAAGACAATACAATCAATGGAAACAATGCTGCTTTTCAGAATGGTCTAAGATTCAGAGATCATATAGTACAGACATACTTTTGATGATAAGTAAGTAAATGTTATTGTATAATTCAAAATGAAAAACTCAAAAATGAAGTTCATTTGCTCAAACTAATAAACAGACATAATATTATGCTTTTAAATCCAAGTGCTTCTTGATTCCTTTTTGCTGGACATTTAAATTGTGCCTGTTGGTATACAAGTAATTGTAAGTTCCAGGCAAAGTGACAATTTTTCTAAGTTAGTAATATATCTATATTTAGCAGCTAATAAAGTTTACTAGAACAAATATAAAATGTTATTCACTTATATGTCTGTAAAAACATTGTTTAAGCTAATTTGAAACATTTCATTATTTCATGCTTTCCAGTGTTTTATTGTAATATATCAGATGATTATATTCTGATTAATCACTAGTGAAATTTATAAAATATAATTTTCACTGTAGCCGGACTATATCTGAATGAACAAGTTTTGTGACAGACGGACAGACAGACGGACAGTGCACAACTAGACTTGGTACTGATCATTCCTGTAAAGTTTGGATGAAATTGCACCAGTAGTTTATGAGGAGTAGTCCGGACAAGCTTTTGTGTATCTGGCAACACACAGAAATAACACCTTTTTATCAAAGAGCCATAACTCGACCAAAAACCATTCAACCGGAAAACCAGTGCAATATGCACAAGGACTTGAGCTACAAATCAATCCTGTAAAGTTTCATTGAAATTGCATAAGTGGTATAAGAAAAGTAGCCCAGACAAATTAAAAAAAAATTATTAAAGGGCCATAACTCTGACAAAATTCATTGAACTGGAAAATGCTGACAATATGCACAACTAGACTTGGTACTGATCATTCCTGTAAAGTTTGGATGAAATTGCACCAGTAGTTTATGAGGAGTAGTCCGGACAAGTTTTGTAACAGACAGACGGACAGACAGACAGACAACGGAGAAGTGATCCCTATATGTCGCCACTACTCTGTAGAGGCGACACAAAAACCAGCATTCATTGTTCAATTTTTGAAAAATACTGAATTTGAAGTTCAAGTTTCTTTCTTTTCAGTTGTCTCATACTTGAACAGTCTAAACATTGGCACTTTGCGCAAGATGTTGATGTTGATGGAAGACTTCTTTTTGATGTTTTCAGCCCCACTAGATCTACCTCACTGTCATGATCCGATAACATAATTTCTGTTATACTGTAAATAATGAATCAGTTTAGTGGAAAGTGAAAATGTATTGAGTAAAAAGTTATTTTTCAGTACACAATAAAATATTATTTAAGGAAAGCAGATGTTTCTTTTTAATTCAGATATAAGCATTGTCCAACAGAGAACAAACAGCATTTAATATCAAAAGTTAACACAAACTGAAAAATAGTTTATGATAATTTTGAGATAACAGGCAAAGACATATCTCATATTTTCTCAATTAAGTATTACAAAATCAATAATTTAAAAGTAAATTTTACATGTCAATATCCTCTGTTGTTTTGGTGTTGTCTGTGGTCTTCTGTGTCAGTCTGGACAAAAAACAGAAAAAATAGATACATGTATTAATAGAAATGAAATCTTGTGAAAATAGAGTTTGTAACATTAAACTCAAACATGACTACAATATATTTCTATGAATCACTGAAGAAAACAATGTTTGTACACATTTTATTTCATAGAAATGGTAAAGGATAAATGATAACCTTTATGAAAAGCTGATATTTTTTTGAATTCCAGATAAGCATTGTTGATGTAATCAAAAGAGACCATTAATTCAAGTTCATTACAAGATAATAGGCTTAGACACATCCAACATTTTTGTATAAAGTATTGCAAAATCAGTAATTGAAAATTAAAATTGTTACATGTCAATAGCCTGTTAAAACACAATAAATATGAATGTTTTAGAATTTAAATATAATAAAACTGCTTCAGATGAACTGTTATTTTGAAATGAACTATCACCTGCTAGGTCTAGAACTTTCAGTGTACATTTGTACATACATGTACAGCATATGTGTTATCTTGTATGCTGTATAAAAACAGACTGGCTTTATCAAATTATCATACACAAAATATACCTTTATCAGTTTATACAATTTTGTGATGTAAATAAGTATTTTCTATGCATCAAAGAATTGGGTTTAACTGACATGATTATGATGTTCTTAAATTCTGAATTTTGATAACACAATTTTCTGACAGCTAATGGAAAAAGTTTTATAAAATGTCTGTATTGTTACATAATATTATGAAACAAAACAAACTGTATACAACTATTCATTTATAGGTTAAGTGTTTACTGTGTTAAATGATTAATAAAATGATACCTTTCTAACATCATCAAGGAAGAATCATAATTTGTAGAACCAGGAATTCCTACTGTATTTACTGAATTCCTCCCAATTACATCCATCACTGCCTCAGTAATTGCAGACATCTTTCCTGGTTGTGGACCACCACCTGAAAGATAAAAAAGTTAGGCTATAACTCAGATAAAGTGAATATATGCATCATGTTATCATTATTCTTGACATTGATTGTTAATATTGATGTAAAGGAATTTCTTAATTTAAATGATACATTTTTAAAAAAAGATTGAATACTATACCTACATGTCGTTGGTGCTAGTGGGCCAATGTGGTTCCATTTCTTATTTATACTTGTAATAATGATAAGATTATCCAAGATTATCCAAGTAACAGATTGAATATAGAAAAGCCTCAAACACCTACAACACATAATATAAACATTTGCTTTACTCATGCTTGAATATTAAAAAAATTGTATGTTACCTGTAGCAGACTGTTCCCTCTGGAAGTCCTGATACTTTAACCTGTGTGTTTGTACCAGGTTGTCCCATTTTTTAACAATGTCCTCTGTCTTCCTTGGAACTTCTGCCACAGTATTAAAGTTCTCAGTTATTTTGGTCCAGTTTATTTTCTTTGTTGATGATGTTATGCCTGAGCAAAAAAGGAAATGCATATTGATGAGCAATAAAATATAATGCTTGGGTTTCCATACACTTTAAAGATATACTATGCTCATCTGTAGGTAAGATATTTTAACCTTAGAAATGTATTGAAATTCATGAAATTCTTACTGAATATGTTTAAAATTGATAAAATAATGAATATACTACACTGTAATACTATGTATGGGAAACTGCATTCCCTATTACATGTCAAGTGAAGTTGATCTTTTCTTAAAAAACTGCCAGTTTTTTTAATGACACTATATATATATATATTCATATTGTGACCTCCTATAGTATGACGAGTTCAAAACATAACATATCTACTTTAAATGAAGTCGAAACATTTTTATTTTATACATTCAAAGAGACTGTGTAGCAATTATTGATAATTTTAAAATTCAAATTTTAGCATGCTAACATGCTAAATTTATAACACCATATATACAGAGTCTCTCTTAAATGTGAAAACACTGTGGATATACAGTTGACTCTCGGTTACTCGAAATCCAAGGGACTGGGCATTTTACTTCGAGAGAAACGGAATTCGAGTAACGTGGAACTGCCGCAATTACCTTGACAGTCGTACATGTATTTATACATGTGCCTGATTAAATGTGCAAAGAAGTAGGTTTGTTATTGTTGTTAGCGGCAATGCTGCAATATTTAACCGTTGAAATGACGGTAAATTACTTACAACTACAAATCATAATGAACAAAAATATATCATTCAAAATTTTAATACAGTATATAAATAGTGAAACATAAACATACAATTATATTTGATTTAATTGATCATCGGACGAAAACGAAAGTAGCAACTATCGTGAACCGGAAGTACAAATAAATGTATGCAAAATGACCGAACATTAATTATACAAATGTCATTTACGTTGATAACACAAATCAATACCTTGGCTGTTATTTGACTAACACCCGTCATACTGGCACGAGTCACCTTTCTTAAAGAAATGTAATTAAATTTTAATTTAGTTATCTAACTGTTAAAACCAATTAAGTGCTGAAACGGATTAAAGCCACTTATACGACGTGTTAATAATACATGATGACCAATTAAAAAATACTATGAAACGTGTAAATCACGAGTGACAACATCTCACCTTGATGTCGCCGACTTTTGATCAGTCGTCTGTTTTCACACTTCGACTAATTGAAATGAAAATATGTTGGACTTTAATTGACGGGACCAAATTTTCTTTTCGACTAAACAGGAGTCTCGGTAAGTCAAAATTTGACCTAAGCGGAGTTAAAATACAAAGATAAAGAAGGAAATTTGACGGGACTTTAGAAATTCTTCGACTAACGCGGAATTTTGAGTAAAGCGATTTTGACTTATTGAGAGTCAACTGTAGTTTCTATCAGCCAGGTAGACAATCAAATACAAAGTGAATCAAATTTAAATTTCAATAGTATATGTTGGTTAACAGGAACTTGAAAGTTCATATCAACAATTACAGTAATCTTTAAGTTTCTAGAAAAAAACATCCTCCATACATGTATATTTATATAAAGGGATATATTAGTCTACAGTAGCACTGTGGAATTTTAATATTTACAAGGATTCAATATTAAAGCATACAAATGAATAAATGCACCTTTTTTAAGTTATCATATTTTTATCCAATTTTATTACCCTGCCTCCTTAGTATCTCTTATCTATGCCTACTATCCCACACATTGTAGTTTTTGCGTTTTTGCAACAAAATGTCATAAAAAGAGAAAAATTCACCACAGATGAGTGCATTTAGATAGTACTAAATGGTTAATAAAAGTATAAGTTTTTGCTGTGTTTATAATTCTGTACTGGTTGGGGAGTGGGGACCACCAAATGCAGACAACCACCAAACCCTGACAGCCAAGATAATTCCTGATATATATTTTTGTTTTGTTCAGTGGTTGTCGATCAATCACTGTCACTTTATATCAACAACAAAAGCATGTTTCTTCTATTATTAAGTGTTAAAGTTTATTTCAACATAACAATAATCGGATTCAGTGAGTTTAAAATACATCGTTAGTCAAAGATCGAAGAATGAATTGTAGCTGGTTATCTCCCTTCAACTCCCGCCATCTGTCAAATGTAACATTTCATCGTAATATTGGCAAAATACTTACTGCTGTTGAACTTATGGCGAACGTACTGGTAATTCGTCAGTGTTTTATTTAAGTTTGATGACTGCCCCATAATGTTTGCCAGCAATAAGCAGTCATTCGCCGAAAAATTGGCGTTTCGGCGTTTCTTTACGTCTGCTGCCTCCGCCATGTTGAATGAGACGCTGCGCGCGCATAATTCTCATTTCCATTACTATTTTAAGCGATGGAAAAACCAGAATAGCCTAGCAACGTACTTAAGAATTTTCTCAAACGAAATAAGAAAATTCTTAACCTTAAGAAAAATTTTAGCTAAGAAATTACTTAAGTAGCTTTTTAAGTACTGTTTAAGGATAAGAAATATCTTATCTTTAGTTAAGGAAAATATCACGTAAGGATAAGAAAATTCTTAAGATGTATATTGAATACGGGCCTAGATGTATGCCACTTTAACAATGAAGTGTTAAATTCAGCACAACTCCAGATAAGTGTTAAATTGTTTCTGAAAAGTTAAAAATTTGTTCAAATAAGTAAAAATGTTGTCAAGTGTAATGTTTAAACTTACTCACCTGGAAGTGTGCCACTTTAAAGTCTCATATATCAAAGTTTGGAAAACCAACAGCACAGTCTCTTACCTTTCTCAATTCTGTAATTCTTCGGAAGCACTCCCTTCCATTCTTGTACATTTACCACGTAGGTGACAAATTCCATCCACACTGAAAGAGAGTATTATAATATTATATCAAGTTAATAATACATGACTGTTAAATGGTTTTACTCAACTATTTACTCTGTAACATAAAAGAACACTTTCACTGTATAGACAGATAACAAAATGTTTGTAACTGACCTAAGTATTGTATCTGTATAGTTCAAGCTAGAACAGAAATATGCTGTTTGTGTCATCAGGGCCGAGCCCACATCTCTCAGTAGAACCACTTACCTATGCTTGCTTTAAAGAACTTGAATGTTCTTTATCTGGATTCAAGCTCACAGAAATGCAAGGTAAGTTATTAACTAGAACTCCGCAAGTTGGATATGTCGCCTTGTGAACAGTATAGCTGTCACTTAGGCATTTTCTTCTTAAAATATAGGTTATTTATAAACACTGTTCTTGCAATGTACATGTACCTTTAACTTAAGTGGCATTTGAAATTATTGTAACAATGTTACAATAGGATTAATAAAACTAATATTATCAAAAACATGGAAAAGTTTTACACTAACAAATCAAATGGAGAACTCTGTGATGGATTCTTAAGCACTGCACTTCAGGTCAATGAAAAAAGCTTGCATACAATATTTGGAGTCAATCAAATTCATAGTGACCAAGTTATGCTCTGGCCAAGCCTATTAAGTATGAAAATTAACAAAGGGCAATAACTCAAAAATCATGAAGTGCAGAGTACAAGTTCTTGTGCACTGCACTTCTTCTCAATGAGATCCATCATCCTATGAAGTTTTTATATTAAAGGCAAAACATTGGAAAAATATTAGATTTATGTCATTCTTCAATAAATGTCATTGATACAGCAAAAATATGTTAATTATATAAAGCGGGATGTTGAGGGAGGGTAGATTGGGAAGAGTTAGGGTCAGGCAATAATTAATGTAATGTAGGCTAATGTCATTTCAAACTTGGGGATCATCGGGTTTTAACTTTATAATAAAACTTGGTCACTTGTGATGTTGAACATGGGCCAACAAATAACCCCATTCATTTTAAATTACATGGCTAATTGTAATATTGTTTCTAAAAAAAAACTCGCCTTTATATGAGACATTAAACTAACATTTAATTACATGTAGTTTATTTCAAGAAAGGGAAGTAAATACTGCAGCCTTATGAACATCATTATAAGACACTTTAGAGTTACCTCCCATAAATCTAAAAATATCCAAGAGAGACAGTACGGGAATTCCCCTTTGTGAAAAAGAAAGTAGACCATTTTTATTGAAAAAGAAGTAAGATTTAGACATAACTGATCATACTTACAGGTAAAATTTCTTTTTCAAAACATTACAGACATATCCTTTTCAACATTTATTCACTCTATTTAAAGAAACAAAATGTTAGGGATCCCATTCAGTTGTGTAATTTGGGTTCCCAACAAATGTTTAACCTGTACAACTGCTGTAGATCTACAACTGTACTATACACATAAAACTTTAAAAGGAGGAATAATTCACAAATCATGTATTAACAGACTTAAAAATTAAAATGGGAACTTTCATTTCAGGTAATAACATGTTTTTTGGGGGGGGTTACATTGTCATTGTTGTAAAATATTTTTAAGTTAAAATGCTTTTCTTACAGACATTTTCATCACTCATCCAAACATTACACTGATGTCTCTCTGACAAATGTTAATAGTTTAACTACGTACATGACCTCATTTAAAGATTCAACTTGTAATAAGTAAAAACTGTCTGCATATATTTCAGTTCCACACTTAAGCTATAAATCAGAATAATGAATAAAAATCTACAAAATTTTCCAATTTATGCAAACGTCCCCTATTAATTTAGTGCATGACTTCAAGATGTCAGTTGTGGGTTCAATTTATGTTACCCTTACTAATTCACTCAGTATGGAGGGTTTGACCCATTTTAGAGATTTTTTTCCGGCTTTGAAACAGTTGGAAAATGACATGCATGCACCCTCCCCCCAGACATCTCTGACAAGTTAATCAGTTCTGCTAAGTAATATTGACAAAAATATGTGAAAGAGCTATCTTGATAGTTTTCTGAAGATTATTAGTGGTTCTATTTACATTTCCATCACCAATGCCATGAAATAAAGTATAGAGGTTCTATATGTAATAAAATCTATAATTTTTATACATAAGTGTGGAGTAATAATTAATATACACATGCCTTTATCTGATGACAATTATGATATACTTACAGCAGACTTGTTTTCTTTTACAGGATATATCAACAATGGCAACCATCACATTTACCAAATCTGAACAAAGAACAAAGTCAGAAACCAGCTCTGTTATTATAAAGTCTTCAGAACACAAAACCAATCAGAATTCTGAAAATAGCCCTGAATTAAATTATTCAAAAATGGAAGAAGAACAAGAACGCCAATTTAAGGCAATCAAAATCTGCACAGAGTTGTGAAAACTTAGAAACAAAACTTGAAGAACCTCAGGCCAAAGATCAGCATGCCTATGAAGCACAAGTTTCAAAGGCAGAAGTTGATGGTGAAACAGACAGTGCTATAGGTTCTAGCAATTGGATGTCACTTGATTCATTACTTAAGCTTGAGTTGGAAGAAACAACACCAAAGGTTTGTGAAGAAGCAAAAGGCTCAGATTATCGCAGTCCTTCATTCAGTTCCAGTGCCAACCACCATTTTATTGTACACCAAAAGTGCCTGTACCAACCGCTACTCAAGTGTATGATGTTAAAAGGAAAGTTAAATTCAAACAGAACAGGATACAGCCTGTCCCTGAAAAACCAGAATGCCACGTATTCCAGAGTCACCTATCAGATCAAAGGGTGCCTGAACAAACAGAAATAGATGGAGAAAGATCTCAAGCACAATACTTACGAGTTAATCCAGAACTGAGTGGAGAATCTTCATTAGCTTTAAGCATTACAGCATCTTCCCTGTCTTCTTGTTCAAGACGTAAGTAGTCCAGTAGTTTTTTTTACCCTTATTAAGTAAGTCCAGGCCTCGAGTTCTGACTCAAATCTAAGGACTTTCATTGGTCAGTATATATTCTTTACTGGTTTCTGACCAATGTTTGTTTGTTTTGGGTTTTAAATCACATCGACACAGTATAGGTCATATCGCAACGTTCCAGCTTTACTGGTAGAGGAAGACCTCAGGTGCCCTTCCGTGCATTATTTCAGGCATTAACGGGCACCTGAGTAGAACCACCGACGTTCCATAAGCTAGCTGGATAGTTTCCTCACATGAAATAATCCAAAGTCCCTGTCGGGATTCGAACCCACAGCGGTGAAGAGCAAGTGGTTTGAAGTTAACGACCTGATTTATCAATTTCTGACAGTATTCTTTAGAAAATATGATTTACGATCAATTCCTTAGTTGAAATGAATATGCAAAGCAACTCTGTCTTATCAAAATCAGGAATATCATTTAACAGTTTGCTTTTCACAACAGAATTATTGCTAGCTTATTCTTTTTGCAACCAATTATGATGCAACCAATAATGATTTAGAAAACTGAATTTCTTTTTCAATCTCTAAGAATTTTGCAGCATGTTAAAAACATCAAACCTATGGAAGGGCGATTCTAATTAGAGTGTTACAGTTACATGCTCCTTTTTTTTCTTTTTCCTTCTTGTTTTTTTTTCTCCTTTTTTCTTCTAGCCAAATATGGGTTTTAAACCATGAAAGGAAATTTATTTTAAACACTAATATTTATTTTAAACGTTAAATTATCATTGTACTTGACTTAGATTGTTTCATTTAAGAATCTCGCTAGTGTTTCTGCATGAACAAATTTACACTAAGACTAATGAAAACTTTTTTGTTCTTACCAATTTCAGGTGGAATGTCAGACTTTGTCATTCTTCACACTGATGATGATCTGGAAGCTGCAGGTTCTTTTATGGAGCATCTTCAAAGAGACATTGGGATACCAGACCTTACTGTAGATTTGCTCAGTAACATTGATGCAGGAAAACCTGGGATGCAAAGTTTGGCAACTTTACATGATAATTATAGATACATTTTGACATATGTAACAAAGAATCTTGAAAGTGATAAATATTGTAGGTACTTGGATGAAATTGTGTTGACATTAGGTCTACGGGAAGCAAATGGGAAAGAAGAAAGAGTAGTGCCAGTATTAACCAGAAGAGGTTACTGTAACATTATAGAACTAAGTATACTTGGTGGACTACAATATTTCAATTTCCGTTCAAATAGCACTCTCATGAGTGAATCATATGTTAACTGTGTAAAAAATCTTGTTAAAACAGGGAGAGCTAAATTTCCTTGAAGCAAGTCTAAAAATAAATTTATCTCTTGTTTATTTCTGTAATAAAATAATATTTAATATTGCACCTTATTGGGTTTGTCTTGTTCTCAAAATATATTCAATTATACTTTTCCCTAGAGTCTGTCCCATTCAAAATGGAAATTTAATGAACTTTTGCCTGTTATGATTTAACAAAGTGAGTTTGAATCATAAATAAACCATTTTTGTAAACTAAAAAAAAGTCAACCTGGAGATTTTTCTCTAAACTGTCTACTTTTCTTGTGAAAGCAACGTTTGATTTCTCTACAGCAAGTCTCTGTTGTTTAAATTGTGTAGCCATTGACGAAGTACTCTTCATATGAAGATGAACCGGAGAAAGTCATGTTTCCTAAAATGTAAACGAAGACCTCGGGTCGTTATATGATAAGCTTGATCTACAAGATGTAACATTTTCAAAAAACATGAATATAAGAATCAAGAGCATCGAGTAGAAATTGCCCTTATATTTAGGCAGAAAAAATTCTGATGCTATTTGAAAGAACTTGAACAAAATGGCGCCCTCAATGTGAATAAAATACACAGGGAGATAATAAGAACGGCGAGTGCATTGTTGTAGAATACTGCACGTTTTGGGCCTTCTTTGTTTATATAGAAAAATTTCCGATAGTGTTACAAATAAACAATTTGAGGTTTATTCTTCAATTCTTAAATGATTGGATGAATGCTAATTTAAATTAAAAAGTACCAGTCATTCTCTGGACTGTTTCCTTCTTTTTTTTTTAAGCTCACCAGCTGGGCTGGCTGATGTTGAGCTTTTAGTCGTCTGTCCTTATTTAGTGCATTAACACTGTAGTGGTCACATTTTTGCTTCAATTGTAATCAAACTTAGTCAGAATGTTTCTCCAAGTAATTGATCAGATAAGTTCTAACATGAATCATCTCGGATGAAAAACTAGGTCATAAAAAATAGAAAAATCTTGTTAACACTCCAGTGGCTACTGTTTCTGTCCAATTATCCTGGAAATTGGCCTGAAAGGTTGTTTTGATGATTTCTATATGGTTCACCCTGGGTCAAAAAAACTTAAGGTAACACAGCCCAAATATGAAAAAAACTTGTTAACACTCTAGGGGCTATTGTTTCTGTTCAAATATCCTGGAAATTGGTCAAAAAGGTTGTTTAGATGATTTCTAGGTCAAGGAAAAACCTTGTTAACACTTTTTGAAACATTTTCAGTCCAAATATCCTGGAAATTTGTCAAGTTGAATTTTATGGGTCCCCTGGTGTCAAAACTGAAGTCATTTATGGAAATATATAATCATCTGTAGCTTGTTTAGTACAGAAAAAATAATTTTCGAAAATCCTAGCTTGTTTTGAGAAGTCTCTATGACAGTGCTTAGGCATATTGGCATTTAACCTTTTATTAACCTGAAGACTTAATGCATTGATGGACTTTTCCATCTTTTAATTTGGAACAGTACATTTGAACCTTAAAAGGGCTTTCAGCATCAAAATACTAAAATTTTGCTACCGACAGTAAAGAGCCTAATCAGACTCCATGGAAATGTCGGTTGGCCTGGCTATATACCGTACTAGCTGGTGGCTTATATAGGATAGTCACTTTCAGTTCTAGCTGCCAAAGGGTTTATTAAATATTTATGTCAAAAATCTTTAAATGAGCCTCCAGTTAAAGCTCAGTATAGATCTCGACAACAATGTAGAGAAATGCATTGACAGGTAAATCTGCCAGGTTTAGTTGTAGTCAATTTAAAATATTTAATGATTTAGAGTTTACCTATATTAAGTAGCACATTTGGATTTCCTTAATTTCTATTTATAGAACCGTTCAAACTCTATTTTTATAACTATAATGGTTTCCCTATTATGCGATATATCTTGTGTCAACAAACTCTTGAAGTTTGTATGCAAAATTTATGCAGGCAATAAAATAAACTCTCAAACACCAGTTTCCTGTATAAACCATTCAAGTAAATGAAAGAATATATACACATTTATTACAAATGGAACTTTTAAAGAAAAGGTATGTCAGTTATTTATTTACAATTTATCTATTGTTATTAAATACATATGTATTTCTTTTTTTAAATAGCTGCTAATTTATTGTGGGACAAAAAAGAATCTTAAATTTTTTTTATTTCGTCAGATTATGAAAAGTCAAAACACAATTATAATGTACTAGTTTACATAACTATTTTAGTTTTAGTACATGTATGACAAAACATGTGTAAATTTATAATTAAATTTCCAAACAATAAATGCAGATTGTAAGGTTAAAGGTGTAAGTGTGGTGTGGGAAGGGGTACCAGTCGGGGAGAATTGACAGGGTAAGAAGTGGTATGCCTCCAACGATCAGGATTATGTTTGATTCACTTCCTTTTCTCACCCATGATGTTGGTTCCATTCCTGCTGTTGATAGATGTACAAACCTTAGAGCACAATGTGCAGTCCATATTCTTGAAAAAGGGCAACATTGTCGCAAAATACACCCGTCGTCAAAGCTTTGGGCATTATAGATATACATATAGGAGATATGCTCTGGTCAATATCCAAAAAATATCTGAATATTTTATTATCTCTAGTGACCTTGACCTTGCAAATACTAACCTAAATTACATGTGTCACACTTGAGTTACAATCCATCAATAAATGATGACTAAATGCGGTCCCCATACACAAACTTTGACCTCTCTATGGGACCTTGACTTTGGTAGCAGGGACCTAAATTATGTGCGCAATACTAAGATTCACAATGATAGTCATAGTAATGACCATTTGTAACCGCCTCCGTGGTCGAGTGGTTAAAGTCGATGACTTCTAATCCAGTTACCTCTCTGGCATGGGTTCGATCCCAAGTAGTTTAGCAGGGAGGAATGTGGTCTAGTACTGGTGTAACTCTCCAGGAACGATGGTTAGGAAACTATCCGCCTATATTGGGAAAAGGCGTAAATTGAAACAAACAAACAAACAAATGACCATTTGTGGTTCAATCCCACAATATATGATGACTAAATGGTCTGAATACACATTTTCATATTTTTATCTGAACTTTGATCCCTATGTGTGACCTTGACCTTGGCCACAGGCACTTGAATTTTGCACGGGAACATTTGTGCCAAGTTACATTGAAATCCCTCTATGCATGTAGAAGTTTTTTTCCAGATAAGCATTTTCAATGACTTCTAAGTGTGACCTTGACCTTCGACCTAGAGACTTGGTTTATGTGTGTGACATAGCTTCTGACACTGGTGAACATTTCAATGAAGTTTCATTAAAAATTCCTCAATGCATGGATAGATATGCTCCAGACAAAATTGGACGCAGTATGCCCGCCCAACCAACAAACAGCCCGTCTGCCAGGGGGGGAAAGTATAAGACCTGTTTTTCAAAAGGGCGTATTAAAAGAAAGTGTACCATATAAAAGGCATTAACACCTTTCAAAATCTACAAAACTTTTACATTTTACAAATGCATTTCTATAACTGTTATATTATTTTTGCTTTGTAGACACTATAATTCATGTTGTTCACTGATCAATACTAAATGGCAACAGTAACTGTGACTGAGACAGTGACTGAGACTGAGCAAACAGCTCTCAACATCAAATCATCTGGGGATAAGACTGAACTAGTTCCTGACAACACGAGTGAAAAAAAATCTACGGAAGACAATAAATGCTCAAAAGTAATAGATAACAAAAGCAATATTAGACAATCAAACATTCAGTCTGATACAAGTACACCTTTGTCAAATGACAACAAGGATGTATTAAACACACAAGTATCTTTACTTGAAGAGGATGGTAACCCTGGCAGTGATACTGATTCTGAAGGCAGTGATAAGAGATTTGAAAATGAATTTGAATGTCTAGAAATAACTGATGAAGAAGGTCAAGAATTACCATCAGATCAAAACGGCTGTGATGAAGTTGGTCAATCATTAGAACACTGTTGTACGCAACCAGTTTCTGTGATTCCAAAGGATCAGGTGCAAAGTGAAACAAAAAAAGAAAATAAAAATAACAGAGGAAAAGGAGCCAGGATTCACCCTGTTAAAAGTGATGTAAAAAAAAGTACATTTCCAACTGACCTGAAAAATACTGAAATTTCTGAAAACCATGGACCAAATGGAAATGGTCCAAATTTTAATACAACCCCATCTTACAAGTCAGTATCCAGCTACAGTATGGCAGCATCTTCTATCCAACCTAAATCGCAAGGTATTATATTCTAAATTTGTAAACTGGAACTGATGCTAGAAAAAAAAACCTGAAATTCTGAAATCAAATCCCTATAATTATGTAGTCTCCAAGTTATTATATTTCAAACAAAAACTTATCATGAAAATAAATTAATATTTTAAAGGTCAATAACTCTAAAATAATGCATAAAATCTCTGTATTGGTTCATCTGTATTGTACTTGTCCAAAAAATATCTATCCATCTATTCATGATGATACTAAAATTATGCTCTTACAAAAAATTACAAAGAACAGTAACTCCAAAATTGTTCCAAAGAGGGTTTTGCAAAGCCACTTTCTCTTAATAGCATCTAGATGTCCATTCCATTTTGAATCTTTTATCCCACTCCAGAACTGTTAATTTATCATACCTCACAGTTTGAAAATACATGTATATCTAAAAAACAACTTGATATTTTCAAAAATAACCTGTATTTTCAGGGCATATGAAAGATTTTGTCATCATTCATACAAAAGCTGATTCAGAAGGAGTACAAGTCTTCAAGAAACATTTACACAATGATTTTGGAATCTCCAACCTCACAGTAGAGACATTTGATAATGTTGGCCTTGGGAAATCTGAATTGCGAAAGGCAGCAACTCTTCACGATTCTTTTAGATACATTTTGATATTTGTGACAGATAACCTTGAAGATGATTGGTATACGCAATTCATAAATGAAATAGTACTAATACGTGGTCTGAAAAATGAAAAAGGCCAGAAAAATAACGATGAAAAAAGAGATAGGGTTGTACCTGTATTAACAGGTTGTCAATATGAAGACCAAGTTCTTTGTTGTATAACTAGTTTAAGGTACTTTAATTTCAAGTCTACAAAACCTTCCCTCAGAGAGGCTTATCTTAACAGTGTCAAAAGTCTTTTTAAAATGGGAAGAGTAAAATTTCCATAATATTTTGAACTTGTGGAATATTAACATAAAAGGTACATTTAAACTAGAAATGTGTCCATAGGACATGGGTGCCCCCACACTCCACCAATTTGTCAATCTTATGTCTCTAGGTCAAATTTTTTTTTTTGGCTACATGTGCCCAAGCTGAAATCTAAAAATCTTTTATTAAGTAAAGGGCAAATACGACAAATACTGAATAAATCCCCAAGAAAACACCAACTTCTTGTAAACTTTCAGGCCTACAGGTCAAATACTTTTTGAGTTATGTGCAACATAAGTTGAATATTGTAAATTTTTACTAATTCAAGGGCAATAACTCTAAAAATACAAAATATATCCACACAAAAATACCCAGGTGCAAAACTTCACATGCTGATCAACATCCCTGTAAGGTTTCATGACTCTAGGTCAAATATTTTTTTAGTTACGTGCGACACAAGTTGAAAATTACAAATTTTTACTAAGACAAGGGCAATAACTCTAAAAATACTAAATATATCCACATGAAAATACCCAGGTGCACAACTTCACATGCTGATCAACATTCCTGTAAGGTTTCATGACTCTAGGTCAATTACTTTTTGAGCTACATACGACACAAAAAGAGAACGGACGGATGGATTGAGGGAAGGACAGACGGACAAGGGTAAATCTAAATGCCCCCCTATAGTTGGGGCATAATAAAAGGTACCAACTTTTCAACTACTACGATAACGATTAAAAACAAGTGTTTAAATAGTGATATTGAACCTTTACTATACTTTAACAGATTTCTTCATCTTTCGACCTGCAGGAAACAATTCATCATTTTAAAAGAAAATTATAAACTAAGTACCGATTGAATAGCAAAAAATGAAGATCATGATCTGACATCATAGATGTGGGGGCTGATCTTGGTCTGCACAGTGGCTGTCACCAGCAGTGTGACCTCAAGTTTAAAGACAAGAATAAAATGTTTCTCTTGAGGCATAATAAAAAGCAATGCAATATTCTAACAGTATTATATCTTGAGCTGATGTCACTACTGTATCATCAGGCTTAATTAGAACAGTATTACCTACCAACAATGAATAAGGAAAGGATTGTATAGCTACATTGATTATTAGGGGCCATTTAATGGATGCCTTTGGACATTAAATGGATATAAATGGATGCATTTGGACACTAAATAGATGCCTGAGCATTAAATGGATGCCTGTGGACCTTAGATGGATATGAATGAATGCCTTGGAACATTGCCTTTGAGCATGAAATGGGTGTAAAAGGATGTCTTTGGACATTAAATGGATGACTTTGAGCATATAATGCATACCTTTGGACATTAAATAGATGCATTTGGACATTAAATGGAATGCCTTTGAGCATAAAATGCATACCATTGGTCATTAAATGGATGCCTTTGGACATTATAATTCAAATGGATGCCTCTGAGCATAAAATGCTTTGGATATTAAATGGATGTCTTTGAGCATAAAATACATACCTTTGGACATTAAACGGATATAAATAAATGCTTTTGGATATTTAAACCCTTTACTGCATATGATTTTTAACAATTGACTACTGATTTATCAATATAGTGTACAGATAATAATTTTTATGGGCAATGTAAAAAATCTTTAACCAGTCATATAAAAATAACTAGTAGTATGATAAATCTTGCTCTTAACATTTTATGGCCAGCATAAAATTTTTTGAGCTAATGGTTTGTTTTAGATGAACTTGTGATGATTATTTATAAATACAAAACTACAAAATCATTGAACAGCTTACTGACTTACATCAACTTAGCTACTATTCAGATGATTTTAAAGTGCATGTAATTTAATCTTCTATATCTTTTTTAAATTTTATATTGTTATTTATCAAAAACTAATTAAGATGTATGAGAATGTAATTTTTGTTAATTTTATTATTATGTGGTTAAAATTAATTGAGCCAAAATTAAAGTGTGGATATATAACTTTGTGTAAGAAGCTTATAAAACACTGATTATCTAATTATGGTCATAAAACAATGCCACCAATTATCCTTGATTGGTTTGTTTTGAGAGCTGTGCAACTGAAGGCACCCATTAATTTTCTCAATTTATATTTTTGATTTTCATATTTTAAATTGGTCTAAATGATAACTAATTTTGAAGAGCAAGGATCTAAATATTTTGAATGTTGGTTTACTTGTAACATCAAGTCAAATTATACTATGAATACTTACAACTTTACAATAACTGAAGCAAATTCAGGTGCTAGCTGTGAAACTGTATATATGGATTATATTATCATTTTATATTTGAGAACTTTCCATCACCATATAAAGAAATAAATAAAATATTTTCAACACTGGACTTTCTTGTTATAAAATACAATCATTTACAAAGGATACTGGGAGTCACTGATACAAGAAAAGGAACTCTTAAACCAGTATCTCGGGCACCCCAGCCAACTGAGGGTTTCTCAGTGTAGGGCACTCACTACCCCAGCCAGCCTAATTCCCTGCATGACCCCAAAGAACTGTGAGGCCCTTCTGGCGGCCCTCAGCTATAGATGTACGAAACTTTGTTGAGGTAGACATAATGTAAGGCTTCAGTAATTTTTGCTGCATATTTACAATGTACACTAATTTTTGTAAAAAAAAACTCTGGAAACAAAATGAATCCTTGGAAGCATTAATCACAACAAAATTATATGAAAATTGCAGACTCGGTTTGATTGAGTCTGTACATGGGGATAATGCATGAATAAGACATGCTTATTGGTATAAGGGAGGTTATTCCTACAACATGAAGCATGAAAAAACTGATATATCATCTTATGGTTATAGTATATTTGTGAACAAATTAGAAAAAAGTTATCTTTAATACCATACAGTAACTTTGTTGAAGTAGCATCATGTATTTTCCCTTTAATGACCTATCAGTAGCTGATGTGTAATTTAGGTATAAGTCATTCTTTTATAATTTTACACAGTTAAATGATAACTGCTCTTATTGTAACGTTTAAGATGATGAACATGTCCTTATTCAAATGCTTGATAAATAGATAAATCTATTATGTCTATACATTTTTGTTACATATGGTAATCATTAACAGTCTTGTACTTAAATTTATTATGTAATTGGAGAATGCAAAGCAAAATTAATCTACTAAGGTTGGGAAATTTAATTCAAGTACATCTACTTCCCCACTACCAAGGAAATACTGACTAATTGTTAAGTGATTTGAACCTTTTTTTACTGAGAATTATTCAATATAAATAACATTTGAATTTTAAAAAGCAAAACATTGTACTTGGTTAATTTGTTCGTTTTGGATTTTACGTCACATCGACACAGTATAGGTCATATCCCGACAGTCCAGCTTTACTGATGGAGGAAGACCTCAGGTGCCCTTCCATACATTATTTCAGGTACAAACAGGCACCTGAGTAGAACCACCAAAGTTCCATAAGCTAGCTGGATAGCTTCCTCACATGAAAGAATCAAAAGTCCCTGTTGGGATTCGAACCCACAGAGGTGAGGGGCAAGTGGTTTGAAGTTAACAACCTTAACCACTCGGCCACGACTCGGCCACGGTTAAAATTTCCATAAATGATTAAATGGAATTCCTTGTGCCTATAGTTTATTGATGACTTTAAGAAGGTGCAGACAAAAAAAACAACTTTTAATTGGATATAACTAATCTTACACAAGAATTTCAGTAAAGGAATAGCAATAAACTACGATCAAATTTCTATATGATACTGAATGTATTGTTTTTGTTTTTGACCCTTCATAATTTATTCAACTCGTTATAGTGCCCCAGCACAGGAGCCACACAGTTTGCTTGACAGCTTCTAATTATACATTTGTATATTAAAGTACATTAAAACTGGCATTATTATTATATTATATGAATGATTTTATGAATACATTGTAGGCAGAGACTTTTGTATGACTTAATGTTGAGACCATACCTTGGTCAAGACCAAATTTATAGAAATATAATATAGAAATATAGAGATGAGCAACATGTAATAAATCTGACCTTATATCTTGACTTATAAAAACTGGTCAAGATTTAAAAGAGCAGTCATTTGTCAAGTGGATTTTTTTCAACAGATCAGGTTAGAACCAGACAATTCAGAACAACTTAGACCTTAATTTGACCATCCAACAGTAGCAAATTGGCATGGTGATGGCTTAATTGGTTTGATTGAATAGAGAAAAACAGGATCCTTTAAGAAGTCCAATCCAGCAACATTGAAACTGTCAGTTGTAGCTTCTGTTCATAAAGCCTCATCAAGGACAAAAGTTGTTCATGAATGTTATTGCCTGGTTTCAAATTTTCAAATTTGACACATATTTTAGTCATATATCTTGGCTGTCGGTCCAGCATTCTTGAGTAATTAACCAGTTAAATGACCAATTTCTCTGTAAGTGACTGACTACTTATCCCACAATCATGATTTCTAAAACAGAAGTGAGAGACATTAACGACCATTAGACTCAATGTCAAAGATCAATTGTCATAGAAAAATACTCACCTTGCCCGATGATGATGATGATGATGATGATGATGATGATGGTGGTGGTGGTGATGATGGTGGTGGTGGTGATGGTGGTGGTGATGGTGGTGATGGTTGTGGTGGTGATGGTAGTGGTGGTGGTGCTGCTGCTGCTGCTGATGATGATTATGATGCTGATGATTATCCTATTAACCTTTTCCCTGATACAGCCCCCTTAATTTACTGCTTTACACCCCATAATACAGTAGCCAGATAGATAATCAATAATCAATATCCTACTGATAAGGAGTCACACACTATCTCCATATAGGGTATGATAAATTATAGGTAAAATTGGTCAAATTAGATACCGATATACTTTAACTGGAAAATAAAGTATTAAGTTGTGTTTTGACAATTTTTGTATCCATAAAATGTTTGTAGAGAATTGAAATACCTTTCCAATGGTATAAATATCATATTTGTTGGGTTTATACAAATATGTCTAAATGAGTTAAAAAGTAATAAACTATATACTTGATGGTGTTTTTTTCTCCATTGTTTCAGATAAATTAGGCTACTTATGTGTTTTAACTAATGTGAAATGGTTTAATTACAAGTTTGACAATATATATGTCAATGTAAGATTTGTAAAGATTTGAATTATCTTTCCAGTGGTATAAATTTTATATTTGTGGGCTTTATAACAGTATAATTACAGTAGTTATAAACAATAAAATGATGTATAATTTTTCTCTCATTAGGGAAATATGGCTAATTTATTATTAATTTTTTTGGTTTATGCAGCATTCATTTTTAGTGAAATAAATAACAACAAGTTAATTTTTTACCTTTTTTTATACCAGTAAAAAGAAATCTCACTTTGTTTTTTTTTATTTATTTTATCAGTTTTTTTTATAATTTATTTCATAATAGTAACTGTCATTTCTGTAATACATGTATATAACTGTTGAATGAAATATTTCAGAATTTCTGCTGTCACGGTCATATATTTTCTTCATGAATTATGAATTTAATTAAATTTTATCATTTATAGATCTAATTTAGATCAAATGATGATAAAGGAAAGACATCCTCGAGTTCCACGGCCTTTTCGGCATTTTCATGTTGCCGACATCAAAGATGATATATGGGATATGATTTTATCATGTCGTATAATACACGGCCCCATGCTGTGTCTGTTATGAAAACAATAGCGCACATGAAAGAATTTAAACTAATAAACATTTCTTTGTCGGTCATTTTCTTAAAAAAATCGCCGCTGCTACCGGAAATATTTTATTGCAGGGGCCAGAGAGATACCCCTAGTCAGGATGTTAATTAATCCGTGTATACACATGTCAGCTATCATAAACCAAAACAAACATCAAATCCATTATACCATGCCTGGCACGTGAACGACCCGTGATCATATAAATACTATTTATTCATTAGATGCTATTTTTAGACACTTTTGTTCCTGTCTTACGATACGTTCTATATTTATTTCATTGACCCGCGCACTCATTAACTGCGTGACATAAGGAAAACCCCTCACCTGGTTGGTTGCTAATTATACAAAAACTTTAAATAGTAACACCATAATTTTATGCACGGAATCCCCTCATGAAATGTTGATCTTTACGATAACACAATTTACAGGTCTATTTTCCGGGAAAATTGTTGATTTTTGGACAGGTAAATATTGAAGTCGGCGAAAGTCACTTCCATTGAGATCATGCATGTCGGCGATTCTCGCTTACATGCGGTAATCGATAAAGCCGTCGATTCTCGCTTCTATCAGGGAATGGTAAAAGACGGCGATTCTCGCTTCTATAAGGGAAAAGGTTAAACTAAACGGACCAATAAAGTGGAAAAATGGTTAATAGACAATAAAGCTATTCGCTAACAAACCCTATAA